GGCGGAAGGGTGCATAGAGGATGTGTATTTCGTATTTTTTGTATGATAAAGATACTAAAGGGTAGCACCGTACCGTGTAGTGAAATCCAACATGTACAGTGTACGATCGCACAGTATATATACACGGATGTGTGAACATTTGATTATGTATATGCATGTGTATATCATAGGTGTGTGCATATGCACGTGTGTTTACATAAATGTATGTGTTTACCTGTGTACATATACATACATACATACATACATACATACATACATGCATGCATGCATGCATGCATGCATGCATACATACATACATACATACATATGTGTATATATATAGTTGTGCGCGTGTGTGTTAAGCATCGTGGGCCACACGCAGTGCGCATCTGGCAACCAATGTTGTACAATGTGTATCAAGCACACGTGGGTAATGGACTTTTACAAACGAGTTGACACATCCCACGCTCTTGCGAACATCCCACCCACCCACCCACCCGCAGCTTGGTGTGCAAAACCCATGCGGCGGCGATTACGCTGAGTGCTTGGCGTTGGCTGGTGCATCTCTGCGACCGCGTTGGCCCGCGCATGTTCGCGCGCACAGCGGCCAACTAGTTTGGCGCGGCCGACGCGGCCGCGGTGGCGCTGACCGCTGGGCACTTCCCAGCGGGCACTTCAATGCGAATCGGTAACTTGGGCGGGCGCGGTATCATGGCGACGCCGACAACGGCAGACACGATTATGAGAGTAGTGATGTGAAGGTGACGATGGTGGCGGTGACGACGGCACGGCCAATGACGGCGCCGATGATGATAACGCCCGCCTATAACGACAACGATGTCCTCGCGTCGGCGATGAAGGTTCTCGAGCGAGTTCGACACGCGCGCGCGGTCGACGCGCGCGAGTGGCCCGAGAGGTCTATTTTGACGCGGATCGTGCTGCCCCCCAACACGCGTGCAAGAACGTTCGAATCAAATCGACATGCGGCGCGAAAGGCCGGATTGACAGAATTCGGTAAACATGTTGGAAACAACTATCATTGTTGGGGGAAGCCTGATAATGTATAACCATGTGTTTGTATTCGTTTTCGTGACAATCGAATTTGAACGCCTTACGAATCCTAAAGTGTTTGAAAGGACTTCGGCATGCGCGCGCGACGACACGCGCGCGTGAACATCGCCCCGTATTTTGTTGCAAGGGGTTCTTGGTAACTGCTGATGTTTGACAAACGAGCGCGCGCATTGTCATCTCTGCAGAAGATGAGGGGGGGATGGTTGATGCCTGCCGGGCTGGGATGGCATGCGTTCATATGTAAAATGGTCAAAAGTCAGAATCACATGCGTACTATATTTCGCGAAGGGGGACCGTCAACTCCGGCCTCGGGAGAGGGGTAGAATCCCACCAGCCCTTTGGGCGACAGGTGGTCTAACGAGATCCACCTTCCCTCTTGCCACAAAAAACCTCTTCCCCTGCGGGGAGGGGTTTACCCGTCCCCTTACCCCTCCCCTAGACTTTTCTGGGAGCCCCGCGAGGTGTCAGGGCGTCCAAAACGGCCTCGGCGAGGAAGCCAAAATCATTGGTCTTACTAAGGTTTTGGCCCCATTTGGGCCTCTTGAGGGGGGGGGCCAACGTTGCACCACCAGCCCTCTGCGCGTAAACATCAATTGTTTTACTAAGGTTTTGGCCCCATGTGGGCCTCTTTGGGGGGGGGGGCTGAACGTTCTCCCACCAGCCCTCTGTGCGCCAAAATCATTGGTTTTACTAAGGCTTTGGCCCCATTTGGGCCTCTGTGCGGGGAGGAGGGGGAGGGTTGCCTCATCTCTCCTTTGATCGATGGCCTTCAGGATGGCCCCAAGAGGCCTTCCAGGGCTTCCAAGAGGGCCCCAAGAGAGCCCCAAGAGCCAAGAGGGCCCCCAAACGGCCCCAGAGGCCTCCAAGACGCCCAAGATGGCCTCCAAGACGGCTAAGATGGCTCCAAGATGCCTCCAAGACGGCCCAAGGTGTTCCTAAGACGGCCCAAGAAGTTCCCAAGAGGCCTCCAAGACGACCCAAGAGGCCTCCAAAATATCCTCCAGGAGGGCCCGAAGAGGCCAAAATCATTGATGTCCCTTAGGTGTTTGAAAAATGTTGACATTTGCTTCTTGTCTGCACTCCGACGGCTCAAGACGGCCCAAGAGGACCCCAAGATCGCCCACGAGGCTTCCAATATGGCCCCATGACGGCCCAAGAGGCCCCCAAGACGGCCCCACGAGGGCTCAAGAGGCCTCCAAGACGGCCAACATGGCCTCCCAGACGGCTAAGATGGCCCCAAGATGCCTCCCAAACGGCCCAAGATGGCGCAAGACGGCCCAAGTGTCCCCCAAGGGGCCACCAAGACGGCCCCAAAGACGTCCAGGTCCCCCAGGAGGGCACGAAGAGGCCAAAATCATTGATTTGCCTGAGTTTCTTCTCTTTTTTTTTGAAAAATGTTGGCATTTGCTTCTGCTCGGCATTCCGACGGCTCAAAGGGCCCCCAAGATCGCCCAAGAGGCCTCCAAGATGGCACAAGAGGCCCCCAAAAAGGCACCCAGAAGGCCCCCAAACGGCCCAAGAGGCCTCCTAGACGCCCAAGGTGGCCCCTTCGAAGAACCCCTGATCTGCCCCAAAAGGGCCCCGAAACAACCCACACAGGCCCCCAAGACGGCTTCCGACTGCGTCGGACAAGCCAGGAACGCCCTAAGACTGCCAAAGAGGCCCCCAAGAAGCCCCCAAAGGCCCCCCAAAACCTTCCAAGAGGCCCCCACGAAGCTCCCAGGAGGCCCCACGAGTGCCCCAAGAGGCGCCCAAGAGGCCTCCTCCTCCTCCTCCTCCTCCTCCTCCTCCTCCTCCTCCTCCTCCTCCTCCTCCTCCCCTCCTCCTCCTCCGCCTCCGCCTCCGCCTCCTCCTCCTCCTCCTCCTCCTCCTCCTCCTCCTCCTCCTCCTCCTCCTCCTCCTCCTCCTCCTCCTCCTCCTCCTCGTCCTCCGCCTCATCTTCCTCCTCCTCTCCCCCATCGCCCCCACGCGACCCCCTTGCTCCCAGAAGTCTCTCGGTTAATCCTGGTTGCTCGCGTTGCTTCCCTAGATGTGTCCCTTCATCCCTTTATCCCGTCAGCTCTCGCGGGCAGGGCTTCTGGATTGGCTGATGGAGATACTTTTTTGATTGGCGGCTCACAAGGACAGATCCAGGAAGCGGGGCAGTCTCGGCTGGGGCACAGGGCGAGATAATTGGCTACGACGGCGCATAGGCCGACGCAACAAGTGCACGCGCCAGGGACAAAATGCCCCCCATTAGGATGCGGGCGACCCAGGAGCGGGAACGCAGGCACCGGAAGGAAACAGACGGAAGAGGAGTCGCACAGTGGCGCCAGCTCGAACCGTGGGTCACGCTGCGCTGTGGCAGCACGGAGGGCCAGTGAGGCCGCACCGTCCATCACGACGAGGAGGCGAAGGAGCGAGGAAAGGCGGCGGGCGCGAGAGCACGCGCGGACAGAAGAGGGGGGGAACCGAGGAACGCCTCACTCACATGGACTCCTGGGAGTAGTCGGGCGTAAGCGAACGACCTATGCATGGAGACGTCGTCCCAGTCTCGGAATCCACAACCTGCAACTGCCTGACTCTGAAGGCCGGGGGGATACAGCTGCAAGCAAGGTCGAGCACCACGGACCACCCTGCGGGAGGGCCGAGAAGCACTGCCAAAGGATGGACCACTTGTGCAGTAGCAAGAGCTCGAGGGCGGCGCCCGCCGTGGGAAGCGAGACAACCAAGTCGCCGGCGTACAACGCGGGCAACTGTACGCCACGGTGAAAGGGGGCACATAGATGCGAGCGTCAACCGTGGTGGCAGGGGCGGACCTGATGGGGGGAACAACGGCGACCTGCCAAAGGATGAACCACTTGTCAGGGACGCGCTCACCTCAGGTCCAGCCCCAGGTGGTGCTCATGGACAGGAGCGTCTGGACCTTGTAAGGAGTCGGCGGCCCTGTCTTCTGAAACGTCAGCCTGGAACGTCCCTGACACTGTAGTCGGGGGGGAACGGCTGCAAGCGTTGGTCAAGTCCACTGTGCCACCCAGCGGGAGGCCGTGCGGAACTGCCCATGGGTGAACCAAATGCGCAGTCGCTGGGCCTCGAGCGCCGCCCACCGCGTGGAACGGTCGTCGACGTCGTTGGCGTACGCGAGCAACATGTCCGTCGCAGGGGGCGGGGGCGAAGTCGCGAGCGCAGCCTGGGGCGAGAGGGACGGGCCTTCAGTGCGCCACCCCCAGGCCCAACCTCAGGTGGCGTCGGAAGCGGGCAGGCGCGCGCGTTCGCACCTTGCCGTGCCCAGCGCATTCCTTGGCGGCCCCTGCCATCGGAAAGCGCCCCGAGTCTTGCCAGGGAGCCACCAGGATGCCTTCTAGGCCCGTGTAGCTCCTCGGCATCAAGACTCCGTGTGGGGGCACAGCCGAGAGCCGCAGTGCCAGGTGGGCAGCGTTGGGGGGAACCCGAGCGACGCGGAAAGCCGACTGAGCAAGGAGGAGGAGGAGGAGGAGGAGGAGGAGGAGGAGGAGGAGGAGGGGGAGTCGCAGCCGAAAGCCGCACAATCCGGCGAATTAGGGGAGGAGCGGGAGGGGGCGCCACTATGTCGTCGTGAGTCGGCGATGCCACTGTGGTCGCTCCACTGTACCCTGTGGAGGGCCTGGAGACTGTGGGGGGAACGCCGCGCCAGCAGGGCCAGACTATCGCGGGCCTTCTCTGACCGATGCACTCCTTGGCGGCCCCAGCCGTCGGAAAGCACCCCGAGTCTTGCCAGGGAGCCATCAGGGTGCCTTCGAGGCCTGTGTAGCTCCTCAACATCAGACTCCGCGTGGGGGCGCAGCCGAGAGCCGCAGTGCCAGGTGGGCAGAGTCGGGGGGGATCCGAGCGACGCGGAAAGCCGACTGAGCAAGGAGGAAAAGGAGGAGGGGGAGTCGCAGCCGAAAGCCGCACAATCCAGTGAATAACAGGAGGAGCGGGAGGGGGCGCCACTATGTCGTCGTGAGTCGGCGATGCCACTGTGGCTTGATCAGGTCAACGACACGGCACGAGTAGCCCCACTCGTTGTCGTACCAGGCCACGAGCTTCACGAACGCGGGGTCCAGCATGATGCCCGCCTTGGAATCGAACGCGCTGGAGATGGGGCACGTCTCGAAGTCGGTAGACACGAGGGCCTCGTCGCAGTAGCCCAGGAACCCCTTCATATCGCCCTCCGAACGCCTCTTGATCTCGGCGCAGAGCTCCTCGTAGGTCGTCGCCTTCTCCAGCTCACAAGTGAGATTCACGACCGTCACGTCGATGGTGGGCACGCGGACAGCCATGCCGGCGAGCTTGCCCGCCACCTCTGGCACGACCCTGGCCACCGCCTAGGCCGCCCCCGTCGAGGAGGGGGCGATGTTGCCCGACGCCGCGCGGCCACCATACCAGTCCTTCTTCGGCGCCCCGTCCACGGTTGGCTGAGCCGCGGTCATGGCGTGGATGGGGGTCATCAGGCCCCGCCTGATGCCGAACGCGTCGTTGACAGCCTTCACCGTGGGGGCGAGGCCGTTGGTGGTGCACGAAGTGCCCGAGACGCAGCCCATGTCACTCTTGTAGGTGTCCTGGTGCACGCCCATCACTATGGTGTGGCTGTCGTCCTTAGCCGGGGCCGAGAACGCGACCTTCTTCGCGCCCGCCTTGAGGCGCGGCTGGATCTTCTCATCCGCCAGGAACGCGCCGGTGGACTCGCGGGCGTAGTCCGCACCGTGCTCCTTGAAGGGGATCTCTGTCGGATCACGGGTGTGCGAGAGCGCCACCTTGTGGCCGTCGATCACCAAGGAGCCCCCGTCGACCTCGACAGTGCCGTCGTGCCTGCCGCGGATCGAGTCGCATTTCATCTGGTACGCGAGATACTCCGCATGCGCGCTGCACAAGCCTAAGCAAAGCCTAAGCAGACCCCGGAGGGCCACCCCACCGGAGTGGGGAGAAGAACATGGACAACTCTCTCCGTGAGGTTGCAGAGAGAGGCTGCTGATAGTACAGTATCAAACAGAGATTGAGCGTGAGGCTGCGGCAGCAGGCGCCGAAGGCGCCTCCTGTCCAATCCTCCAACGCGTTGGGATAGTGCCTGCGATTATGTGTGAGAACTAAAAGTTGGTATGTGAGAGAACTGAGCGACTTTTGAGGCGCTTGGCCTGTCCTTCCTCGGCCCTGGACGCTGTGGCCCTGAGCCCCTGCGCCGAAGGTAACTGGAGATCTTGGACCCCCCCAGGAACGCGCTCACACCCCTTGCAATTGACAAGGCTGCAGGAACCAGGCGATCGCTGGCACGCGCCCACACCCAAGAGAAGATAGCAATCAGCACTACTCCATGCCTGGTCTCCGGCCAAGTAGACTAGCAATCATGAGATCTTCGAGCTCGTGCACAATCGACTCGAGGTAGAGACTCTGGCCCACTCACGCCCGACGCACTACAGGATGCCAAAGTACAGGTGATAGAACTCAAGCCCAGGGATCACCGAGGCCAGCCAGCTCCATCAGGCACAACCCTTCATCTGACAGTCGTGTCGTAGCCGGCCTCGAATAATTTTCCATGCGACAAACTGGGAAGGCCTCGCATGTGCGAGGCCCGTATGCGGAAGAATCTGTGTCATGCAGGTGCATGCAATCTGGGGCGTGGTGGTTGTGCAACACCGTAGCCCGAGGTGTTACATGCGGCGTCGGCCATGTAAAGAGGTTCACGTGACCACTCGCCGGCAAATCCTCGCCTCGCTCGGCTGCGGCACCAATGGCGCCGGCCGCAGCGCCAGGCCCCCTTCCGCGGGGCGAGATACTCCGCATGCGAGCTGCACAAACCCAGGCAGATGCCTAGGCAGGTCCCGAGGGGCCATCACCCCCGGAGGGGTGAAGATAAGGTTAGTTGGTGTCCCAGACGGGTATGTACTGGAAGTACTGCCTGCCTGGGTCATCCTCGAGGACATGGCTCAAGCTTGGGTATGCGCTGCTCGCTGGTCGAGGTATTTCTGGCGGGGCTCGCGGGGGAGGAGCTGCTGAGTCGGACTGCGAGTTGGGGGCGCCCCAGCGCTCGCTCAACACATGTCGCCTGATTTTGGCAAGGCATATCAGATTGTGTTTCCATTGTTCCTTGTAGTTTTGGGGCAGCCGGGAGGGCAACCCTGTCCTTCTTTCAAATGCAGAAGACGGCGTCACCATACCGACGCGGAAGCACGAGAGCGCGGGGCAGTGCCACGCCTCATGGTTCCAGCAGCTGGCTTCGCCTCCACGCCTGTGACAACGAGGAGCAACAGCCCCGTTGAGGATCTTGTCATACTTGGCAGTGCTCTAAACAGCACCCGTGAGAAGAGCGATCGCATGGCTCCCAAGATCGCTCTTGATTAGATCGTGAAGCAGTGCCAGGGCCTGCAGGGCGAAGCTGACCCGCGCGGACGCGGCCAGCAGCGAGTCCTTGCGCTGCATGCCCTTGAATGCGTCCCACCACGAACGCCGCAGTGCAAGCCGCGCCAGATGCTGCGCCACCTTGGTGGAGAATGTTGGACAAATACTGATTGGATCGTCTCCCAGCCAGCCGTGCCAGCCCTTTTGATTGTTGTGCTCGCAGAAGCTGGGAGACAACTGGTTCATCAAGTCGTTGAGCATGGCGGCGGGGCCAAGGTGGCGCGTGAGACGACGCGCTGCTGTCGGGACAGGCGCCTCCGCGACCTTGGCAAGGCAGTCGATTGCAACTGCTCCCTGCCGTTTGTACCGGGCCCGCCAGATCACCCACAGACGCGAAATAGTTCTGTAGAGGATGCAGCAAGAGTGCCCTGTGACCAGAAAATGTCTGAGATGAAGACAACCCGAGCGCCACCTGCCGCCGAGGACGGCGTGGTCGATGTAGGACTGCCACTTCTGGATTCTGATCTTGCCCGGAGGCGACCGCACAGCTACCCAAAGCAGCCGGGCGTAAGCACAGGGCATCAATTTTCTCTTCTGCCACCACGGGAATGGTAGTGAACGAGTGCGCCGGCATCGCTGCTGAAGGATCCGGACCGCAGGGGCCTCGTCCTCAGTGCTGGGCTTGCCGTGGAGGGTCATCTTGATCCAGAGCGCCTTCATCTCCTCGGAGGGAAGCTTGCGGGCACCTGGGAACAAGTCGATGGTCTGTGTCTTTTTGGGGTTTGTGCACATAGCTGTCAAAGACTCGAAAGCTTGCCACACCTGCTGAACAACCTGCATGGTACGAACATCTCTGGTGATGGTGGTCCGGACGTCTGCGTAGAGCGCGTTCGTGGCCGACGGCGCATGCCTCTGCGCACGATGATGCGGCAGTGCTAACATCACAGCCATGGCGAGCATGCTCAAAGGGTCCCCCTGGGCAAGGCTCCTGGATACGTGGACGACTTGTGGGTCGACGTACGTGCCAACCTCTGCATTTGTACTGGTCTGTCCAAAAGGCTCGGATAGCACGTAAAACGTGAAGAGGCACCCCAAGGTACTCGAATATGTCGGTCGTGATCATGGTGTCGACGCGATCAAACGCAGACTCGAAATCCCACGAGGCCACGTGGAGCTCAGCATGACCTGGAACAGTGAGGTGCTCTGCGTCTGGGCCGCATTGCTGCCATAACCAATTGCTACGGGTCTCGTCAATACTCGAGAGAAGAGACTCGATGATATGTTCAATCGTGACTCCTCGGATGCCGCCGGCCTGCCCTGCCGGCCACATGGGTTTCAAGAACTCCGCAATCTGCCCGGCGCGGAATCTGGCCCACGCCATCCACCAAACGCAGGCGATGCTGATGGGGCGGAGCCTGGCGACCTCTGGGGTGCCGCGTCCGCTGTCCTTCGGAAAATGGACTTGGCGCCACTTCAACCAGTCGGTCGGCGGTCGGGCGCCCTCTTCGATCTTAGCAAAACAATTGATGAGAGATTCGAGGGCCGAGTCCGGCAGCAGAAAGGCCTCATCGGCAGACCAGCCGTCAACGCCGCAAGCCTTGCCCCTCATGGGTTTGAGGGCGCGCCTGAGCTCATTGACCCCAGGTAGTGGGGAACGATCCAGAACCCCAGTCGGTTCCCTCCATACGCTCTCCGCGTGCATCAAGTCGTTGATCTTGTTGCCATTCCCAAAGGCCTGATAATGCTGCTGGTAGTGTTCACGGACGGCATGTGCAGCCCCAGCGCCAGTGAAAAGCTGATCCTTGATTCTGACCGCTGCGTCCGTTGGCCGCCACTGTGCTCCTCGGATCCACTTGTATACAGCAGAGCCGCCGGGGTCGATCTTCATGCGGCGCTTCCATGCCGAGATCCTCTCCCTCCGGGAGACATCCAATTCGTGCTGGGGACGCTGATGCGCCTGGTCGAGTTTCTGCTTGCGGGCGCCGGCCAGCCCAAGGCCACTGGCGAGCATGCCGGCTTCAGTGGCGAGGCCCCGCTGCCACTTCAGGCCAAGCTCCCGGGCGACCTGGATGAAGCGTCGGAGCCGGTCCTCAACACAGCTAGTTTTGGATACAGGGCCGCCCCCAAGTTCAGGTTTTTCTTGCACTCGGCATTTGTGTTTCCAGTCGCCTTTCGGCATAGTGGTCGGGGGGTTGAGGACGAGCATGCGCTGCAAGCAGGCCTCAGATGCCTCTGACCACGCCTGCAACCATGAGTCCATGTCGCCATACTCCTCCATCCCAGTATGTCTGTCATAATTCCCCATATTGTCATTCCAGAACAGCTCCGCCGTATCCAGCCAAGCCGCCATTTTCACTTCGTCATTCTTGAAAGTGTCCGGTCGTAGGTACCGGCGTAGTTTGGCCCAATGGTAGGGCTGCCTGTCACCTGTGCTGGGGGACTTGTCCACGAGCATGGGCATGTCCAGCAATGCGAGCTTATGATCCGAAATGTGATGTGACGCACAGAACACCGAGGATGCGAGAGGCGCCCAATCTGCACGGATAGCAAAGTAGTCGATGGCCTCGATCCGGGGCCCTGTCCATCGAGTGGCCTCCGGAAGAACCAGGAAGCGATAGTTGAGAGTCGTGTCGAACTCGACGCTGAAAGGCGAGTCAGCCTCAACATTCCAGTCGCCAGCGAAAACAACAGTGTCGCAGGCTGGCATGGCTGCGGCTTGTTCCAACAACCACGTCTTGAAAACATCTGCGGCGCCCATGTCCTCAGTGCTCCGGCGGCGCAGGTTGACGAGCCAGAAGAACGCGTCGTTGCGGTGCACGGTGTAGACAGAAGCCTCGCCTCCAGGGAAGCGAGCGCCCGCGCGCCAGGCAGGGCGCCACATGTTAGAAGTAAGGACGACTGTACCTCCCCCTGCAGGGATCCCCTGGCTGGCCTGCCCAAGGCAGTCCGACGCAGTACCCGGGGGCATGTGCCAACCAGGTTTGGAAAACTCGGCGATCTGGGAGGCCATCTGGTACTCGTTGATGCGGGACTCCTGGCACGCAAGAATGTCGACGCCCAGCTCCGCGGCAGCACTCAGCGCAGCATCCCGGTGGCGCCACCAGCTGGCGAGGTTGATGGTGCCGATGCGGATTTTGATTGCCTCCTGCGGCAGGAGGTTCACGTCTAGCTTGGATGATGTGGCCCCAGTAAGGTTCTCGTCAGACGCGACGAGCTCGCCCCCAGGCACCAGCATAGTCGATGATGGCGTCGGTGCTGACATCGATGCAGGCGCTGATGCGGGCGCAGGCAGCGCTGTCGGCGCTGGTGCTGGCGTGGGCGCTGCGGGCGACGAAGCTGACCTTATTGCAGGCGTTGGTGCCAGCGCAGGCGCTGGCATAGGTAACAGTGCTGGTGCTGGCGTAGTCGTTGCTGGCGTCGGTGCTGACATCGATGCAGGCGCTGATGCAGGCGCAGGCTGCACTGTCGGCGCTGGTGCTGGCGTAGTCGCTGCGGGCGTCGATGCTGACGTTGGTGCAGGCGTTGGTGCCGGCGCAGGCACTGGCATAGATAACGGTGCCGGTGCTGGCGTAGTCGTTGCTGGTGATACTCCGCATCGTAGCTCGCGTTCGCCAGCTTCAGCTCCGTCTCAGGGCCCTCCATGACGATGCGGGCCACCAGGCGCCCGATGCGCCCGAAACCGTTGATGCCAACACCGACCGCCTCCCTGGCCACCTTCGCGGACGAGCGGCGACGGCTCGCGGCCGCGCCCACGACGCTCGGAAGCACCCCGAGTCTTGCCAGGAGACCCTCAAGATCCTCCGAGGCCCGTGCCGCTCCTCGGCGTCAGACTCCGCGTGGGGGCGCAGCCGAGAGCCGCAGTGTCCGGCGGGCAGCGTCGGGGGGGGCCCGAGCGACGCGGGACGCCGACTGAACAAGGAGGAGGAGGAGGAGGAGGAGGACGACGAGGAGTCGCAGCCGATAGCCGCACAATCCGGTGAATTAGAGGAGGAGCGGGGGGGGCGCAACTAAGACGACGTTGAGTCGGAGACGTCGCTGTGGACTCGCCACTGTACCCTGAGGCGGGTCAGGAGACCGTGGGGGGACCACCGCGCCGTACCAATGTCGACGTTGAGTCGGAGACGCCACTGTGGTCACTCCACTGTTCCGGTGGAGGGTCTGGAGGCCACGGGGGGAACAACGCGCCAGCCCACTGGCAGGGGACTGTGCTGTCACCTTCCCAGAGCAGCACACCCTGGTGGCTGCGCACATGGGGGACAAGCTCGCCAGCCCACTGTCGGGGGACTGCGCTGTGGCATCCCAAGAGCGGCACAGCCTGGAGACTGCGCACGGGTGGTGCGCAGCCAGTCGGATGCAGCGTTTGGCCTCCCAGCGCGTTCCCTCCAACATCCTTGGGACGAGCGTGTCTTCCGCGCCGCGGGGGCCTGTCGACTCGTCACCCTCGCAGCGCGTTTCCTCCGTCGCACACGGGATGTGCGCATCTTCCGCTCCGGGGGGGGCCAGTCGACTCGTCATCTTCACAGCGCGTTTCCTCCGATGGAGAAGCACGGCACGTCCGACAACAGCCCGTCAGAACCAAGAGGGGGGAAGTATGAGACACCCAATCGCGCTGCAGAGTACGGTGTGCAACTCGTAGTCAACAGAGAAAGTGGATCTCAGAGAAGAAATCCAAACTGTCCACGGCATAGCCACACGCGCAGCACGCAGACAGAGGAGAAATGAACTGAGGTCGACGGTAAAACCACACACGCAGCACGTAGACAACAGCCATGATAAGGAAGTAGAAGTTCTGGAAGAAGCAGGAGTCAGGACACATACCACGGTAGCAACTCGCACGGATGCCACGAGGGGGTAGCAAGGCTACTGCGGGGAGACGGCCCACCACTGTTTTCTGTGCTTCCTGGGGGCCTGTTTATACGGGTGGCCCTTTGCCGCGAGTTGACCAGTTCTCACTCCGCCGCTCGGACCCCGGCGCCGCTGCCGCGCCCAGGTCCAGTCGACGTCTAGGCCCAGCGCTTCGCTGAGGACCCGTACGTCGCACTTGTGGCTGCGGAAGGATTCCAGGAAGAGGTGGCAGGTTTGCGGGTCGTGCCGAAGCGGGTCGAGCGCGCCCTCGCGGCCAGGCACAGACTGCCGCTTGGCGAAAGCGTGCCAGGTGCCAGTGAACATTGGCCCCAGTGTGACTTGGAGTCGTCGCATCGCCTCGCCGGGCGTCTCCCCGGGGAGGTCCCACTGGACATTGTTGATTCCTGTTTTGTACAGCTGTTGTCCGGTGTCGGGGTCCTTGGGCTCTGGCCATTGACGCGTGTCGGGCCCCTGGCGCTGCCGTGTATCCCGGCCGCAAGTCGTCAACATGGCGGCCTCGTTGTCCTGGCTGGGGGGTTCGCAATCTGCTCGCGACAGTTCTGGCTGCACGCCTGGCAAAATGGTGCGGGGAAATGCAAGCCGCACGGTTGGCCGCCAGGCTGGGGTCGGACCGCGTCCGGCGGCCAGGGCAGACGTGGCCCTGTGGCACGCGGGGAGGGTCCCTTTCGCTGGCGCTCGCTTTCGGGCCTGCGCCTGCTGTCGCCCTCATGTGCGCCCCCTTTGGCCAGCGCAAGTCTCTCTCCGTTTTCTGGGGCACCACTGGTTGTGCCGGGCGCGTGTGCGCTCTGCGGCGCAACTTCCATAGCCCGAGCGCGAGCTGCCTTGCCAGCGTTGCCCTGGGCGCCTGGCGAGGGCGCCCGGGGTTCGCCGTCCGCAAGGAGCTCACCGGCAGGGGAAGGGGGAGGAATAGGTGCAAAGGGGTTTCTCCCGACGAGCCAGCGGATGGCTTCGCTGTCCTGCGTCTGGATGGTTGTTCCGCGGTCTCCCGGCTGGGTGCGCGACGCTCCCAAAGGACTGCTGACGCGCTGGTTGCACTGAGGGGGGAATTCCGCGGCTTCCGCAGACCCCGCCGTCTCCGCCGCGACTTCCCGCTCCATTCCTCTGTCCTGCCGGCGCAGAGGACTGCTGACGGACTGCTTGTCCAGAGGGGGGTACTCCGCGGCTTCCGCAGCCTCCGCCGTCTCCGCCGTGACTTCCCGCTCCTTTCCTCTGGCTTGCTGGTGCAGCTGAAGGGGGGGGTCGTTCGTGTGAGCTGTGCACTGGTCACTGCAGGCTACCTCCTCTCGGTTCCCCACTGTGACGTCGTCGTCTGACCACGAAGGGGGGGTGGTATCGTGACGTCTGCCTCAACCGCCTCTCGATTCCCCTCTGGGACGTCATCCTCTGTCGACGAAACGGGGGTGGCACGTTGCCGCTGCTGCTGCTGCTATGCTCCGATATGTCGTCGTGCGTGGCAGGATCCCCGGGGTGGTCGTCTATCGTCGTCGCGGGGCGTCCTGGTGGTCCGTGCTCAGGGCGGCCGTCGGGGAAAGGGCTGGGGCTCGAGACGCAACGATTTGCATCTGGCCTAACGGGCCCCATTCCACCTCTGGGAATCGGTACGCTCGAAACCGCGCTCCCTTCTGGCCTAACGGGTTCCGTTTCAGTCGTGGCCGAATCCTCCAGATGGTCGTCCGTCGTCCTGGTCACCACGGCTGGAGCCGCCTCGAAATTCTGAGTTCCAGGTCCCGTAAGGCTGGTGCTGCAGCAGCTGCTGCGGCTGCTGTGGTGCTGCAGCGGGTCGGCGTCGTCGTTGTCGGCGTCTTCGTCGTCGTCGTAGTCGTCGTCGGCGTCGGCGTCGGCGTCGGCGTCGGTTTCGGCGTCGGCCTCGGCGTCGGCCTCGGGTTCGGCATCGGCCTCGACGTCGTCGTCGGCCGCGGCCGCGCGGGCCACGGCAGCCGCGTGGCCCGCGGCCGCGGCGGCGGCCGCCTCCGCCACGGCCGCGGCGGCGGTGGCGGCGGCGGCCGCCGCGGCGCCGGCGGCCGCAGGGGCGGCGGCGGCGGGGGCGGCCGCGGCGGCCGCCGCGCCGCGGCGGCGCCGCGGCGGCGGCGGCCGCGGCGGCCGCGGGGGCGGCGGCGCCGGCGGCGCCAGCCGCACCGGATGGCGCGGCACTTGAAATTTCAGCGACTGGGCCCGTGTCCCGCTCCCTTCTGTCAGAACGCAGCAGTCCTTTTTCTAGCTCCAATCGCACACTCTCCACGAGCTGCTCCGAGACCGCGGCGCCACGGAGAGGCTCCGCAGCGGCTCGTCGGGCAGCCAGATTCGCAGCGCGCTGGCGGCGTCGTCGTGAGCTCACGGACTCGCTCCAGTGCCACGCCCACTGCCGGTGCCAGGCCCAGGACGTGCCCCAAAGTCCTCGCGCTCGACGGCGACACTGGCCGCGTGCAAGCTCTGGGGGCCGCGTCGCAGACCGCAGGCCCGCAGCAGCGCCAGAAACACTGCGTCCGCCAGCGGCATCAGGGCCTGCGGCGGGAACGTGTCCGCGGTCCTCGTCTGGCAGCGGGTCTCGCCAGCCGCCATGCCAGCTCGAGGCGGAGGCAGGCACCCCTCCCGCCGGCCGTCCGCCACGTCGGGGGCCCGCGGCCATCCAGAGGGGGATCAGGAAAGGAGGGAGAAAGAAGAAGTAAAGGAAGAATGGAAGAATGGCCTCCTGGCGGCCGGCGGCTTGACCCAGAGCGGCTTGAGCCAGGCTTGAGCCAGGCCACGGAGCTGATGGAGATACGCGAAGCGTGAATAGTTGTTTCATCGGATAACATATGTCGCGCGCTTGGTCTTTCACAAATAAGTTGACACATCCCCTACTCTTGCAAACATCCAACCAACCCACCCGCAACTTGGTTTGCAAAACCAATGCGGCGGCAATTGCGATGAGTGCTTGGCGTTGGCTGGTGCATCTCAGCGGCCGTGCTAGCCAACGCATGCTCGCGCGCGCAGCGGCCAGCTAGTTTGGCGCGACCGACGCGGCCGCGGTGGCGCTGACCGCTGGGCACTGTTCAGCGGGCGCTGCAATGCGAATTAGTGAGTTGGGCGGGCGCGGCACCATGGCGACGCCGACAGCGGTGGACGCGATTATGAGAGTAGCGATGAACGTGGCGATGACGGCGATGACGACGGCACGGCGAATGACGGCGCCGACGTTGATCGCGCTCGCCAAGAACGATGGCGATGTCCTCGCGTCGGCGACGAAAGTTTTAGAAGGAGTTCTACACGCGCGCGCGGCCGGCGCGCGCGAGCGCCCGCGCGGTGCTATTCGACGCGGGTCGCGTCCCCCTCCCCGGCGAGCGCGCAAGAGCGTTTGAGTGAGTTCGCGTGTGGCGCGGAAGGCCCGACTGTTAGAATTTGATGACAACGGCCGAAAACCGATGGTGTTCTTAAAAATCTACAAGAGCGCGAGGGCATGCGATTTTGTCTGAGGGGTGGGGAAAAGATGTTGCAACGCCATGTGTGTTGATTGGTTGCCGTGACGCTCAATCTTGTAACCCTTGCGAAACCGACGGTTTTACCAGGATTTCAACATGTGTGCGCGATGACGCGCGCGCGCGTGCACTGCGTTCTTTTTTTTCGCCGAGGGGGCCCAGCGACAGCATGCGCACAAGGGCGTTCAAACGATCTTCTTCGACACGCGCGCGCGAGAGGCCAATTTGGAAACACTGTATGAGAATGTTGAACAATCGGTGATCTTCTGAGGAATTCGCAAGAACGCGGGCGAAACTTCTTTATTGTTCGGAACTGTTGTTGCATAGCCGTGCGTGTTTTTGTCGTGGCACTCGAGATTGAGATCCTTGCGAAATCATGTATAAGTATATATATATATATCAATACCAATATCAATACTATGCATGAAAATATAAAGAACACATGCCATGTCGTAAGGTTCCCAAAAATTGGCGTCGCACCCCGCGACGCGCGCGCACTTCGCTTTGATATTTTGTTGCGCAAGGATGTTTTGAAAACGTATGATTTTTGATAGACGAGAGCGCGCGCGTAATTTGTTGCAATGGATGGCGGGTGTCGATGCCGGCTTGCCTGGGACGGCAGGAACTCATACCTAGGATGGGCGAAGGGCCAAGACCATATACAACTTCGCAAGCGAATGCAACGACGGAAAATTCGAAAATGTTATGTCTCCATCGCCCCCCTGGACATTTTCACTGTTGGCTTCGCATGTGAATTCGCACATGGTCATGGCCCCTCTTCCATCCTACACGAGAACCCATGCCGTCCCAGCCGGGCCGGCATCGACCCCCCCCGTCATCGTTTGCCAAGAATGATACGCTCGCGTTCCCGTTCATCTAAAATTAATCCCTTCCAGAAGCCCTTTGCGCGACATGGGGCGAAGTGCGCGCGCGACGACGCATGCCGAAATCTTTCAAAACCCAAGGAATCGCGAGGAATCCCAAATCGAGCGTCACGGCAACATATAGAAACACCGGATTTTGCAAGAAGGTTTCTCGCAGAAGGAAAAAACGTTTGCGCCCGCGCTCTTGCTAATGCTTAACAGCCATCAGTTTTCAACATGTCCATGGAATGGGTCCACATTCGCCTCTTCCGCGCGCGCATCGAAATCGCTCGGGCGCCCATGCGCGCGTCCTGTCGCAAGAAACCCCTCCAACAACATTGAACGAAAAGCACGCGCGCGTCGTCGCGCGCGCATGCCGAAACAAGTGCAAAACCTTGGTGTCCTGTGGTGTCCCGTGGTGTCCTGTGGTGTCCCGTGGTGTCCTGTGGTGCAAAACACATGCGATCGACAGGTGTCCCGTGGTGTCCTGTGGTGTCCAGTTGTGAGATCGATAGTGAAATCGATGTGGTGACCCGAAGTGGCCCGAGGTGTCCTGTGGTGGCCCGTTGAGTGAGATCGATAGTGACATCGATAATGACATCGATACTGTGATCGATGTGGTGCCCCGAAGTGGCCCGAGGTGTCCCGCGGTGCCCCAACAAATGAAATCGATTGTGAGATCGATAATGCGATCGACAAGTGTCCCATGGTATCCCGTTGAGTGAGATCGATAGTGGGATCGACGATGAGATCGAAAATGAAATCGATGTGGTGCCCCGAAGTGGCCCGAGGTGTCCCGTGGTGTCCCGGGTTGTCCCTTTGAGCGAGATCGATAATGAAATCGGCAAGTGTCCCGTGGTGTCCCGTTGCGTGAGATCGATAATGAAACCGATCGAGTCAGATGCTGGTTCCCCCTCCTCTTCCCCCCCCACAACCTCCTCTATCACCAGAAGGGTGGTCGCATAAGTATACATGTAACATCGCACCATCCCAGGCAGGCCGGCACGCCCCCCCTCTTCCCCTGCACAACAGTACGATGCGCGCGCGCTCGCGTATGACAACCCATGCTCTTTTTTGTTGATAAGAATCCCCTGCGAAAAAATACGAAGTGCACGTGCGCGAGTCCTCGCGCACGCATGCAAAAATCCTTCAAAAACCTTGAGTTCGCAGGGATTTCAAATTCGAGCGTCCCGGACACATGTTGAAACAAAGCTCACGCCCTTGCGCATACTTGAGAAAACCACGCGTCCCCCAACATGTTCACATACCATGCCACCAAGCGGGCCTCACGCGCGCGCGTCGAAACCGTTCGAACGGCCCTACGCGCGCGCTGTCGCAACAGTTCCTGGGGGGAGAAAAAAAGAGCAATTATACACTGCGCGGAGTTCCCCATATGTGCATCTATTCGCATGGACTTGTCCGCCGTGAGTGTCTAAGCGAAAGAATTTTCGAATATAAACCGGCTTCGGTTGCGACGGTCTGGTCATGAATCCAACTGCGAATGAATTGGAGTCTGAATGAGCCTCAGTAGTACGAACGCGTCTCTGCGCATGAGCCTGGGGCCACCTGGGGCCTCCTGAAACCTACTGGGGCTTCCTGGGGCCTCCAGGAGCCTCTTGGGGCCTCCTGGTACTTCCTTGGGAGGATTCATGCCCCAGGAGAGGCCCAATATATAGCAACAAACGTACAGAAAACATTTCGGATTGGAGCCGCAGGAGAATGGCAATATACAGGAACAGTGTAAAACATCAAGGACTCCTGCCCCAGGAGAGGCCCAATATTTAGGAACAGGAGTCAAATGTTTAGGATTGTGCACACAGGGGAAGGACAATGTATATAAAGATACGTATAACATCAAGGTTTCGTGCTCCAGGTGAGGCCCAATATGCACACATATATATAGACATATATATGTATGTATATATATATGTATGTATATACATATATACATATATATACACATATATATATATATATATAGGAGCATACGTAAAACATATGGGATTGAAGCAACTCCTGCTGTCTTCTGAGGCCTCCTGCTCCTGGGGCCTATCGGGGCCTCCTGTTGCCTTCCGAGGCCTCCTGGCGCTTCCTGTGGCCTCCTCGGGCCTCCTGTGGCTTCCTGAAGCATCCTGGAGCTTCCTGGGGCCTCCTGGAGCCTCTTGGGACATCCTGTGGCCTCTTGGGTCTTTCTGTGGCCTCCTGATGCCTCCTGGGACCTCATGTGGCCTCCTCGGGCCTCCTGGAGTCTGTTGGAACCCCCCGTGGCATCCTGAAGAGACTATGTGCCCACGAGTCTGGCCACCAAAACAAGCAAACGGATCGAGACATCCTCAACATCTGGCCCACCTGGGGGGTGAACATGAGCGCCTCGCTCGAAACATCCTCCGAAGCTGCTTCGAAAACGAAGGATGCTGATACAAGAAACAACCAAACCGCATGAGACATCCCCACGAAACGGCCGCGAACGGGACCGTGAAAACACCACTGGCGGCTCCCCTTGGGGGTGCTGAAACCAGCGCACCGCCTGAGACATCCTCAACATCTGCTCTGGTAGCCAAGGATGTTGAGGCAGAAAACAAGCAAACCGCCTGAGAACCCCCTCATAAAACAAAGGCTGCGAACGGGACCATGTAAACACCACTGGCGGCTCCCATTGGAGGTGCTGGCATCAGCGCCCCGCCTGAGACATCCTCAGAATCTACTCTGGTAGCCAAGGGCGCTGAGACAGAACACAGGCAAACCGCTTGGGACATCCCAGCAAAAGTGCTGCGACCGGGACCATGAAAACACCCCTAGCTGCTCTCCTTGGAGGTGCTGAAACCAGCGCCCCGCCTGAGACATCATCAGAATCTGCCCTGATAGCCAAGGATATTGAGACAGCAAACAAGCAAACCGAATGAGACATCCCAGCAAAATTGTTGCGGACGGGACCATGAAAACACCACTGGCGGCTTCCCTTGGGGATGCTGAAACCAACGCCCCGCCTGAGACATCCTCAATACCTGCTCTGATAGCCAGGGATGCTGAGACAGAAAACAAGAAAACCGCCTGAGGCGTCCCCACAAAACTGCTGCGAACGGGACCGTGGAAACACCCCTGACGGCCCTCCCTGGAAGTGCTGAAGCCATCGCCCCGCCTGAGGCATCCTGACAATCAGCTGTGTGTTGAGTAAGTCAGACAATGAGAAGGTCTGGGCATGAATAAATCTGACTAGGAGTAAGCCTGTGTAAGAAAAAGT